GAGTGGAGGATTGAAACTCATTTCTAGCAGTTTGCCTTTGAGTCCCACCCTTACAAGGTGGGAGCCCCGCATCGGGCTCTTTGCTGTCAGCACGAAGCCCACTTTGGATCCTTTCTCCTCCCTACCCCCACCCCTCCACTGCTCACATGCTCTCTCTAAAAACAAATACAAAACATTAAAAAAAAAAGTTGATATCTAAATTTTCCATCACAAATTTAAGTACCTGTAGAGGATATAATGTCTGATTTATTATAAATTTTGATGTTTTAAACTAAAACCATTATGTAATTCTTAAGTGTATCCAGTGGACTCCAAATACCCTAAATGTTTGGTGCCTGCCATCATCTATTTAAAAATACATGAACAAGTTCTTTAGCAGAAATTTTATATGGTTCCCTTTCTTCTTGAACTTCTAATTCCATTCACTTCCCATTCAGAACTGTATTCTAATTATATTTGTATGTGTTTTTTTTTTTTTAAGTTTATTTATTTATTTTGAGAGAGAGCAAGCATGGGGGAAGAGCAGAGAGAGAGGGAGAGAATCCTAAGCAGGCTCTTGCTGTCAGCACAGATGCAGAGAGCCTGATGTGGGGTTTGATCTCACAAATTGTGAGATCATGACTTGAGCTGAAATAAAGAGTTAGATGCTTAACCGACTGAGCTAGCCAGGCACCCCAGTATATTTGTGTTTTAAAGACTTATTGATCACTATCGCACTTCTTTGCAACAAGAATGAGTATAAATTTAAGATTATTGGCTGTGACCATAGGCTTTAATTGTTAAAAAAAAAAAGTCTCATTTGAATTGAATTGTCATTACAGCTATTACTGGTACACAGTTTATTAAACAACATAAATATATTACATAAATTTATAACTTGTGAAACCTGAAAAGTACAATTTTTATTGAAAATGCATTCCTTGGGGTGCCTGGCTGGCTCAGTCAGAAGAGCCTGTGACTCTTGATCTCAGGGTCATGTGTTCGAGCCCCACATAGGATGTAGAGATTAGTTATATGAATAAATAAATACTTAGAAAAAGATAATGCATCCCTTAATGAGAAATATGGTGTTTCTCAATTCAGGTATTCATGGATGAGTATTATCTAATGGTAGAAGAAGATAAGGTGCTACTGTTGCTCAGTTCTCTTTTTTTTATTTTTTTATTTTTATAGACATAAGCATTGAGAAACCTTGTTCATGTAGTAACTGGGAAAGGAAGAGATTTTTTACGGTAATATTCCTTGAGTCTTTGAACTACTTCTAAATTACATGCCAGTAGTCACAGTGTTCTATTACCAAATACTATTCTAAAGTACTATCAAAAAGAGTCTTTTAATTTTAGTAAAAGCAAAGAATTGGAAACCACTGAACTTGAAAAAGGTTTTGTTTTCAGTTTCAGTCATGTAAAAATTACTATCAGTTACCTGTTACTTTTTCATTCAGAGGCACCTTGTTAATCTGAGATTGATTTTCACACTCTTTTACTTACCGACACAATTTTGGTAAAATTCTTTTATCTTATTATGAACATGTTTTCAGGATCTTTCTGTTAAGATTTTGAAGTGCAGGGGCGCCTGTGTGGCTCATTCGGTTAAGCAACCGACTTCAGCTCAGGTCACGATCTCACAGTTTGTGGGTTCAAGCCCCATATTGGGCTCTGTGCTGACAGCTCAGAGCTTGGAGCCTGCTTCAGATTCTGTGTCTCCCTCTCTCTCTGTTCCTCCTCTGCTTATTCTCTGCCCCTCTCTGTCTCTCAAAAATAAATAAACGTTAAAAAAAATTAAAATATTGAAATGCAGATTCACTTCAATTTGGAAAATACCCGCCATTTGTGGAATTAGCAAAGCCAGTCTTCTTTCAAACCAGTCAGCCAAATCCGACTGACTTTCTGTTAGGAAAAAGTCTGCCTTTATTCTTCAGTTCAAATAAATACGTTAATATTCACTTTAAAGAATATTATAAAAATCACTGGGAAATAAATTAACAGCTTATAAAATAGATTACTAAAAACCAGTTATGATTAAAATTATATAGAGCTAATATTAACATTACAAAACTGTAAAAACAGGATAGTACTGTTTCTCATTATGTAATTTGGAATAATGCTGTATAATATGTAGCTAAATCCACTAGTTAATAAGTAAGAAGTAGGACAGAAGGTATGTTATCCCTGTGGCAGAAGTGGGTGTGTGTTTGTGCTGAATTCTGATGTTTGGCTTTGGAGAACAATTAAATAAGAATCATGTTTAAAAATCAGAAATAACTCCAAATAAATTTTTTTAGACTTCATGATAAATTTCCTATTATGTATTTAATTTAAAAAAAGTATATTGGCTAGGAAATAATGGTTTGAACAGCTAACAAACAATTTGGTTTTGCTAGTAGGAGGTAGAAAATAGTAAACATTTTATAAGATGAAATAAGAGGATTGGTTGTAATAGAAATGTTTTAATATTATTGATTGAAAAAAAACCCTCCCTCCTAATGCCCAGGTTTTTATATCCTGGACCATGCATGGAGATTAAGTGTAGGTGAGGGATATGCCTTTCTTTTGTAAAGTAAGGACTATGCTGAAAGAGCAGGTGGAATGGAGAGTATGCATTAAGTAAGCTGGGCTGGTTCTCAAACAGATTCGTTGGGGGGAGGGGGAGATTTCTAATACAAATTGAGGATCTGGGGGGTACCTCGGTGTCTCAGTCGGTTGAGCATCTGACTTCAGCTCAGGTCATGATCTCACAGCTTGTGGGTTTGAGCCCAGCGTCCAGCTCTGTGCTAACAGTTCAGAGCCTGGAGTGTGCTTTGGATTCTGTGTCTCCCTCTCTCTCTGCCCCTAACCCACTGGCATTCTGTCTCTGTCTCTCTCAAAAATAAATAAACATTAAAACAAAAAAAAAGTTGAGGATCTGGAAACTTATTACCTTAAAATGCTCCTCAGATTGATTTTCTTGCCTAGTACCTCTTGGAAGGTCTTCCCATACCCTTGGAAAGCATTCCTTGGAAAGTCTTTATGTGCCCATTTTAAAGATTGCTTGATATAGTCAGACCCATACTCTACTGGCTCTGATTATACATTAATCTGGGACATCATCATAAATGTCATGGGAATAAGGTGGAAGACTTGGTGTTTTTGGAATAAAAGAGGGTTCAGAAAGAATTCAGAGAGGATGGCCCCCAGTTGATGTAGTCATAATGGCCCTGTATTGGTCCTTGGCTTTGCAGTTCTAGAGACATGATTTTATCAGTCCACAAAAGTGATCATGTTTTGTTACACTAAATCAAACTTACAGGAAGTTAATGTATAAAATAGAATGCCAGTGAATTAATTTATACTCTTAGCCACCAGGTAGACTGGATTCTCTCTCCTGTTGGGAAATGTATGTGGAAAGATCAATTGTAATCAGAATCCTAGGAGTACAGTTTTGTTTTGTTTTGTTTTGTTTTTTAAGAGAAAGAGGGCAAGCAGGGGAGAGAGGCAGAGAGAGAATTCCAGGCAGGCTCCATGCTGTCCTCATGGAGCCCATCACGAGGCTCAAACCCACAAACCATGAGATCATGACCTGAGCCGAAATCAAGAGTCAGAAACTTAACCCACTGAGCCACCCAGATGCCCCAAGGAGTACAGATCTTGAGCATGGCTACTGTTATCAAGCTATGATAACCTGATGCATGGCACATAATAGGAGCTCAATAATTGTGAAGTGAATGCACCTATCCTTTACAGGTGCTCATGGGGAAGTTTGGGATTCTAGTAGACCAACCCAACATTTGATTAGGTAGATTTTTCCTTGTTCCTTTTAAATTGCTATATCATATAGCTATTAAATTCAGTAAAATTTTATGTCAGGAGATTATATAATTTTAACCATTAAGTTTTATCTGTCCTCTCTGAGCCTGGAAAATGGTACCGTTTGTTTGTAAGAGATTGGACATTCCTGTGGTCTAGTGGTAATGGTGGTATGGCTGAATGATATTTTAAAATTCTCTCTGGTGGCCAAGAGTGTACTGCATAAAAAGAACAACCTTGGGTGACTCAGTGCTGGCATTTTGCTGGAGGTAAGACATCTTAATTAGGGAGCCTGTGGCCTGGCTAGATTTGGGGAAGTGTACTATAGTGAGAAGAAACAATACCCTAAATATCGTATACTGCCTTGAAAAATAGAGAGACAAGCCTTTTCAGATTCCAAAATCATTAGGAATAAGATGGATAAATGAAAAAAAATTTTTTTTAAGTTTATTTATTTATTTTGAGAGGGAGGGTGCATGCATGCAAGTTGGGAAGGGGCAGACAGGAAAAGAGAGGAGGCCAAGCAGGTTCCATGCTTAGCACGGAGCCCAACTAGGGGCTTGATCTCACGACTAGGAGATCATGACCTAAGCTAAAATCAAGAGTCAGAAGCTCAACCGACTGAGCCACCTAGGTACCCCATGAAAAAATTTTAAAAGTCCTATCTGGAAGCCAGAAGACACTTTGTTTCCTCAAACCTTTTTCCAGCTCTAGAATAAACTACAGAGACAGAGGAAAAGATGTCAGGCTGAGGAGTTTTATTTAGTATTTTAATAATAATAATAAAAAAAGACAATACAGAATCCAAACATTTCTTTTTACAAGTTCAGATACATTTTTTCCCCAAGTGCAAAATACTCTATGAACTGCATCATTTACTGTTTATTGTTGATTGTGTAGGAGATGCTTACTATATTGGCAGCAGTGGAAGGCAGATATAAATACAACATTTTGAGATTTTTTTTTGCATTAAAAAGAAGCCTCCCACATGATAATGATTATTCTCTGAAACTTCAGTTTAACTCACACAGAAGAATAAAGTTTTCAGTTTGTCCAAACTGCTACTATTTGTGTTGTCTAGATAAGCTGATAATAGAACTGGAAGTTCCATTCTCTCTAATCATATATCTTCTTAAAGGGTTCCTAGTCCAAATAATGGCCCAAGCGCAGGGTGCGCGATCTTTGAGACAGGTCATATTTAAAGATATCCTTGTGTTGTTTGCTTCCACTTTTCTTTTATTGTGCTTTAGAAAGAAGCCAAGCAGGTTAACATTATTTTCTGCTTATGGTCAGTTATACTGTCTCCCTTCCCCTAGTTTGAGCCTGTTATATTGAGGTTAAATAGCGAATACAAAAGTTTGAATGCTCTATAATGTTTTCTGACATTTTGATATACGACCATCCAATCCACTACAGAGTCCCTTCAAACATGAATATGGAGAATACTTCTTACATATAAACAATTTCATTAGGGACAGAGACCATGACTGTATTCCTGAATTTGCAGCAACAAATCTGAGCCTTCATTACCTCAAACTAACTCAATCCTAGGGAAGTCAGAGCAGTGTCTGCCTCTGGGGATTTATAGCCCTGGGGCAGGGCAGCTCAAGTCCAGGCTTTGGTCAGTTCTCTTCTGACTGTGAGAGTTCCCTCACGTTTAGGGAATGGACCAGGCCTAATACGAAAAAGGGAAGCAGAGAAGTGAAAAGGGATTGCTGCATTGCTGAGGTTTGAAGTGCCTTTCTGATATGCATCACTTGGTGCTCAGAGCCCTTGCAGAAATGGCTTCCCACTCCCAGACCCAGAGCAGTGCAGGTTTTGTACTTGGATAAATGAGGCCTCACAGTACTGCAGTCCTGTAACACCCCCTCCTGCAGAGAGGCCTCGGGACTGGTTCATGAAAGTTCCCACGTACACCATCTTCTTCCTTCCCCACACTGGTAAAAACCTCTTTTTCTGTCTGACCTGTAAGGGTCTAGAGAATCCCTGAGTGTTGACTCCTCATTCAGTCCACTTAAGCCCTAGTTTGATGCCCTAGGATTGGCTTCCTCCTAGGTTCAGCAGCAGCTTTGCCTGGATTGTTAACCCCCAAGTGGGATGACCTAAATTAAATGTGGACATTAGCAGGTCATTCCCTGCTCACCAGGATCTGTCTTGACATCAGTTAAGAAGCCTAGTGGTCTATACTTTCCATGCTGTGGAAATCATTTGCAGTTCCCAGAAACCATGGAATAAATTATCGGAGGAAGTAGGTTTATGTGTATATATGGGGTGACAGGAAAGGAGGAGAGCAAGAAGCAAGACCCTGAAGGCATAAATTGGGAACTACTCTGTTTAACTTTTTAAGAGAGATGCAAAATGGTAGGGAGAGAATCAGAAAATTATCCTGGCTTCTGGTGGAGAATTAAGATGGTCAGAGCTGATTCAAGCAGTTTTCATGGCATTTCCTGGGAAGTGTGGATACTTCTATTAAATGACCATTTTCTTTCTTGGAAGTAGGTATTTTATATCTTTTGCAGAGCACTCTTTGACTCAGAGAGACAAAGGAAGCCAGATATTCCACTCCTAAGAGCCATGGCATTGGCTAATGGATATCAGGGGAACTATCTGGGACATTGGTTACCTACTGCCTAAGGCTGTCTTTGGCTGGTGAATGCTACTGATTAGGTAGTGAGGGGATGGTGTAGGCTTCTTTATTTAGTGTTGCCTCTCCTGGGAGGAGCAGTAGCCTGGACGGTCAATTACAAATGAACCCTAGGAGTTAATTGGTAGCCTTTGATTGAATAGGACTACTTTGATTGAATAGCTTTGGGGGAACTAAAAGGAGCAAATGGGAAATAATTTTATAGGCAGCAGCAGAATGAGGGGAGAATGTGTGCACGATGTGGGCTTGGGCATGGACTTGATTCTTCCTTTTGAAAAGCAGTAATGGAGGAAGCTAGGCTTGAAGTCAACGCCGAGAGGGAATGGCAAACAGGTAAGGTAGGCAGAGTGGCTAAGGTCAGGCAAACTTCATGCCTGGGTAACTGTCCGATTCTTGGTTCCCATAGCCATAGCTTGTCTCTGGCCTCAGGGGCCTGAGTCAGCCCATCCCCAGGGGGTTTGTCCTGTGCACATCGGGGAAAACAGGATGAAGGCAGGGAAAAGATGGAGGCTTTCCCTACTTGGGAGTAGAGAATCACTGACCAATTCATCGGCCTCTACAATCATGAGGTCCATGCTGAATCCATAGAGAGGCATAGAGATGGCAGGATTGGTTTAGCAAACATAGGTCCCACTCCTTCCTGCTCCATCAAGTCCCCAGAATTACTCTCCTACACATCAGGTGCCTCTGAGCTACAGTTCTGAGTTCCCCCAGCTGAGGGCTCGAGAGGTCTGGATGGCCACTGGTGGGGGAGCAGAGACAGATGTTCCAGCACTCAAGGTGTTCATGAGATTCAAAACTTTTTTTCTTCCACTTCAGACATACACTCTTCTCTCTTGGGCAGCTATAAATAGGGTTGTTCTAATAGAGGAAAAAGAAACAAAAACAAAAAACAAAACCAGAAAACAAAAACCCCTCCCTCTAGACAACATAGGAAGACTCAAAATGATTGCACTTATTAGATGTGGACAGGGTGGGCAGAAGGCTCGCCAAGTGTGCACACATTCCTCTTGCTGCCCACAGCCTGGGGCCAGAGGTAGGTGGCTCTGGGCTGGCTGCAGAGCAGGGTCCTCTTTGGTGGAGCCCACAAGCCATCTGGGGCTACAGGGAAAGATAACTCTGGGGCAAGACCCAGGCTGGCTTCTGGTCACAGCCATGTTTCTTTAAGGACAACACTTAGCAAGGGGAGTAGGGCTCCCCCAGGGAGCACTTAGGTAGGGGTGAGGAGATGGCTGGGCCAGGAAGATAAGTAAGAAAAGGGATTAGTGTTTGAGGCTGGCTTCCCAATTGTTCTGTAGGCTAGTTCTTTAGATGATACATTTTCTTCTTTTTTTTTTTTTTTCTTCATTTTTTGGTGATGCTTTAAAACCTGGTTTCTGTCCTGCAGAGAGCTATAGTCTTTCTCTTGGGGAGTGACAGCGGCACATTCGACGTGGTAATGCCTGCTGCTTTTCCTCAGTCAGCTGGTGTCCACTAGCCCAGTGGTCTGGGCCTTTTGTAAGCCCTCATGGATTGGACACCAGGCAGACATGTGGGGGAAGAAGGAGAGGAGCTGTATAGACAAGAAAGCCAGCTGTGTGGGCAGTCCAGGGCTCAGACCATGTGCCCCAGAGGACCGTGCTGGCAATAAGCCTACAAGTCAAAGGCTTCTTTGGCAGAACCCTGGGCGGGGGGCACAGCCAGGGGACATTTTGGCTCCTGACTAGCAAGGCACAACCCTATAATGGCAGAAGCTCTTCTTCCCCCTCCTCATTTCCTACTAGACCCACTTCCTTCAAGGGTTTCTATCACCCTTACAGGCTGATGGGGCCAGGGATGTGAGCTGGTAAAATGGGCAGTGTGGCTGGGAACGGGACACTGTTCTTTCACCCCTCAGGGGGAATAGAGCCAGCACTTAATGGCTTTTCCAGGGGGCATATAGGAAAAGGGAACGCAGTGAAGAGAGAGAGAGAGGGAGAAAAAGAGAAGCAGAGAGAGACAGGAAGAGGAAGCTAGAGATACAGAAAGGGAGACTGCTTGGTCTATAGTGATTTTTTTTTTTTTTCTCCAAAAAGAAAGAGAGGAGAGAATTCCTCATCTGAGGGTGGGGGCTGCTGGCTCTGAGGGCTAAGGAGTCTGGGGGCTTTAAAACCTGGGTCTTGGGCCTATGGGCACTATTTGTAGGGCCTCAGGAAGCTGGAAACTTTGGAGCGGAGTAGCTTGATGAAGGATTTTGGCAGCATCTCCTTGTGTTTCTCTGTATACTTGAAGTAGTTCTGGGGGTGAGCCAGCACCTCGAAGAAGGCCTTGATGAGCTTCTTGTCCTGCAGAGGATGGCAGGTGGTAATGTCAGCCTCAGCATTGGGGGTGGAAAAGAGGAACACCAACCTCGACTCAGAAGCAGCCCCTCTTGATGCTAAATAGGCATGCCCAGAAATGAACTCTGGATTTTCATCCCCACCATCTGTTCCTCCTGTAGAATCCTATAACCTAGTCATTGGCAGCTCCACCCTTCTATTGCTCAGGTCCCAGTCCTTGGAGTCATCCTGAACTCCTCTCTCTTGCCCACAATCACAGCAAATCCTGTTTATTCCACCTTCAAAATATATCTGGGGTCTGACCATTTCTCACATTCTCCATAGCTACCACCCTGTCCAAGCCATGTTCTCTCTCACTCGGACTACTGCAGCAGCCTCCTAACTGGTCTCCATGCTTCTACCTACCCTTGTTCTTCTACGGACTGTTCTCCCCTACAGCAGCCAGGGTGACTTTTTGGTTTTTAATTAGATCATATCCTCTTTCTGTTCAAAACACTTCTCTGGTTTCTGTTTTCGCTCAGTAAAGCCAAGTCCCTTGCATGGTCCATAGGCTGAACATGATCTGTACCCCACTCTTTGTCCTCCATGCTGCTTTGACTTTCGTACTCTGCTGAGCTACACTGGCCTTCTCAAGGTTCTTGAGCATGCCACACTGCTCCCATGCTCCTTTCCTGATCTTCTAATGCGTAGCCCTTTACCTTATTCAGGTCTTTTCTCAGAGGCCTTTCCTGACCATTCTGTCTAAAACAGCAACACGATGTGTGGAGGGCCTCCTAGGTGCCAGGCACCGTGCACCGAGACTCAGATCTTCTGGCTTCTAGGCTAGTATTCTGATTTTTAAAATAAGAAGTGGGGCTTCTAGCCTCTCATCCCAGCTTCAATCAAAACAACTCCACTACTTTATGTATTGGAGTTCCACAGCACATGTGAAATAAGGGTTCAGATGCTTTAAAAAATGTTTGAAAAGCATTGCTGAAATTTTTTTCTTTGTAGCCTGCAAGTCCTAAGCAATTTTTGTCATTGTGTCTCTTATTTTGAGGATAGTATAAAAATGATCTTATTCATCATAAAGATAAAACTTTTCCTTGCATTGATCATTTATGAAGGGTAATACTGTGGCTAGGACTGTAGTTTCCTAAGTACGATTTTCTCAAACTGGGATCCACAGACCAGGTGTTTAGTTCATTCTTCAGTGTTGGTAACATTTCTTTTCCTTTAAGACAGATCGTATTGAATGGACTCTGAGAAACACTATGCTAGATCTGCTCCTTTTCTGTGGGAACTGAGGAAAGAGGAAGGGAAGGAAGGTACTTAAGCAGAAGTATCTTTCTATACCTCATTTTCCCTGTATTTCTTGGTGAAACAAGTAGGGGACATTTCACTCCTCATCTTCCCTTTCTCTTCCCCTACAGTGTAAGATAGTACAGTCAGATGGGCTTGAACTCATTGGGCAAACTCAACTCTGTGTGCCTCAGTTTTCTTATCTGTAAAGTGGGAACGATGAAAGTACCTATTTCATAGAGCTGTTGTATATATCAAATGAGAATATTCATGTAAGCACTTAGCATACTGCCTGCACATTGTTTATATGGTCATTAAATGCTGGCTGTTCTTCTTGTGCACATTCACTTGCCTTTAAAATCTCCTGGTGGTTTTCAGACGCATAGAGCCGGCCATCTCGAACAATGTCTTCTACTAGCTGCTCATAGTCCTCTGCACAATCAACCAAGAGGAGGGGTTTAGGGGTAGAAACAATTCCTGCTCCCCCTGCTCCCTCAAGACTCATGAGCCTCCCCTTTCTCACCCACCTCCCTGGCATTTGTGCCCTTGCTCACCATCATAGGTGACGTAGGGGATCTGGAAGCCACGAGCACTGTTGGCCTCGCTCGTCTTGAAGTTGATCCAGAGCTTCCTGGAGCGGGCCGTGAAAGCAATGGGGCGCTCATAGGTCTGGCAGGTCTCATAGGTGGTAATGGAGGATGGGGAGGCTGGGAAGGCAAGCAGCAGGTCAGGGAAACAGCAGAGCAGGCTACCCAAGCCCTCCTGGAGGAGGGCTGAGTGGGGGAAGGAGTCATGCTGACAGAGACTCTCCCCCATACATGTACTTCCCCCACTCCCCAACGTACACAGGTCCTCTCCCACTGCCCTCCACTTGTTCCACAACTCCTCTTTGACATCCAGGCACTCACAGAGTGTAAGAAATTTGACATTTAAATGAATGGAATGGCAAAAATGCCAGAACAGGAAAGTGAGACATGTAACACTTTTGGAGTTCTAGTCCCAATGCTGGCATTCTTAACTCTGCTCTCCACCAATCACAGGGCACATTCATTGCTGTTTTCCTTTGTTAGCTTCTCCACTTCCAAGGCCTCCCTTCTCACTGCCCTAGTTCTTCCTGTACCAGTTTTTCCTCTCTCTGTCCCTCCCTCCCAACCAGATTTGAACTGCCCTTCCCTGGCCCAGCCCTGCAGCCACCCACAGTTCTTTCTCATGACGAGGACGTCCCCACACTCATCCTCAGATGGCAGGAAGATCTCGGGTACCACGATAAGGATCTTGCGCTTGGGTGGGGGGTTGATGTTCCAGACGCACTCCACGCCAGCTGGGTAGTTGCCTGGGTAGTTGGGGGACTCGATATAGCCAGTGAACTCACCCAGCTCCCCACCACACTGGCGATCTGTAACCAAGCCCAGATGGACAGAGCAAGAAAGAGAAGGGAAGTCAGTGGGGGAATGGGTTAGGGATGTTGAAGGATTTTGAAGTGGAAACCAGACACTGTAGGCAACTGCTTTCTGTTTCATCATCTTCAAGTTCTGGGTCCACCTTCCTTCCTGCCCTTTTAGTACCTTCTCATCTCACTTCACCTCTCTCTGTCTCCCCATCACCTATCTCCAGGGAGAGGGTGCCATGGGGCCCAGCCCAGCAAGTGGTCTTAAGATTGAGTGGGATGGGAGAGATGGAGGGTGGGGCTTTCCTGCCCATCCACTCCCTAGCCTTGCTCCCTGTTGGTTTACTTGCCCCACCCCCCACCTCTTCCCATGCCCACTGTTCCCAGACCTCTCTGCCCCTTTTTCCACAGCTTGGGCTGCCACGTACTCTTGCACTGGGCCACACTGGTGGAGCCGTCAAAGTCAGTGCTTGTATTTCCTGGACAGCGGGTGCAGAAGTTCTGACGGAAGTCAGGCTGATAGGAGCCCATAGCACAGCGGATACAGCGATGGATGGTGGTGTTGTAGTAGTGACCAGGGGAGCACTGGACTGCAGGCGAGGGGGAAAGGTAGGCGTTAAGATGGTAGGCAAGTGGGAGTTCTGGGGCATGGGATGAGCAGGACACAGGAGACTGAAGACACCAAAGTTCCTTCTGAGTCCCAACCTTTCTTTGTCATGCCAGAATTGAAGCCTAGGGAAAAACAAACTTACAGAGTGGTTGGCTACCATGCCAATCCTTTTCTTTCAGGCACTGACTGTAGTGCCAAACTTCTAGAAACTCATTGGTAGTATTGAGGGGAATGTGCCACCAGTTCTCTGAAGCAGAGGGGTAAGTGACACTGTTATTTATTCCCTAATTCCCAGACTTGGGACTGGTGGAGGGTCAGGATGTGTCCTATGAGCAGGATGGTCTGGTTGGTCAGGCAGCTGGGCCTTTCCTAGTTTGGGGAAGATGGTGTGCCAGCATACTCAGGTCTACTCTGAGGACTTGGAGAGGTTTTTTTGTAAGTAGTTAAAGTTGGGGAGTCCCCCAGTGTGTAGCCCATTCACCTTTGGTGTCACAGTCTTGGAAGGAGATGGCCCCCTCATGCTTGGTGGTGAGGCCCCCACCACAAGGGAAGCACAGGGTCCGTCCTGCTTCAGGTTGGTACGTGCCGCGTGGACATGGCTGGCAGGGCTTGAACCCATCAACGGAGTATTGGCCAGGAGAGCACTGACCTGCAATGAATCAAGGGCCCAACTCTGATGGGGATGGTCCTGGTCATCCCCACGGGGTCACCCAGTCTCAGGGGACAGAGACACACAAGCAGGATGTTGACTAGGAGAGTGGTCTGGAGCCTGGGCCTGCCCTTGGGAAATCCCATGCCCATGGGCATCCCAGTGCCCACCCTACCCCACTCTATATTGTTTGTTCCCCTGGCACCTGCACATGTGGTGACGTTGGTGGCTCCGAGAGGCCCGTGGGCATCACTCCCAGGGCAAAGGTCGCAGGAGAGCTGCCCTTCTCTCTCCTGGAAGGTGCCCGCTGGGCATGGCACACACTGCTCCGTCTGGCCGTGGTAATACGTTCCCTGCGGGCAGCTGACTGAGGGAGAGTCGGCCGTGCTAGCCACCCCGCCCCCCTATTTCCCGCCACCCAGGCCTGGGATTCCCCTTCCCGCTTCCCCAGATTCAAGGAGACTCTCTTTGTCTGGGAATAGACAGAATCCTGCTTGGGAAGATCAGGGGCCAATGCCATGTAAAGGAGAGTTGATGGCCCCTCTGGACATGATATCCCTCTAGATTTCAACCTGGGACCAGGGAGAGGATGATGACAGGCAGGAGGGTCTTGGCTGCCTCACAATTTGAGGTACAACTGAGGCCGTAAAGTGTCCTGCTCTCTGAGTCAGGCCCAAGTTGGGCCTTCCCCGTTCCCCTGCTCCCCCGCTCCCCAGCAAGCTCCCTTACCACACTTAGCCCCAGCACGGTGCTGCCCAGGCCTACAGGCCTCTGCTGGCTCAGCTCGCTCCCCAGCTCCTGGGCCCGGCTTGTGGGCCAGTTCATAATCAAGGCCTGCCAGGCGCAGCAGGAAGCGGTCCTGGTTGATGGACTTTCTGAGCATCTTCAGGGACCCTTTCAGCCTCCGTTCCATTCGCTGTCGGAGGCAAGGCAGTCCACAGCCAGCTGGTGGTAGATGATGGTATGAGTCAGGGAAGGAAGAGAAAGTGGCTGTGAGCAGGAGGGCAGGGAGCAAAGCTAGGAGCTAGGAGGGATGTGGTAAGAGAGACTGGCTCCTGGGCTTGGTGTTAGGCATGGTCTGCCCTTAGTACAAACTCTGCCCCCTCCCTTTGCTGCTGAGACTTGTGGTTTCCCCACCTCTGACCCCTTGCTTTCCACCCTCCTCCCTGCAGTGCCCCCAGTCCCACCTGTGGTTTCTTCGGCTCTGACCTCTGCCTCCAGTTCCAGGGTGAGCCGAGTGACTTCCTTGCCTGGAGGGGTCCGGGCCCGCCGGCCCTTGCCCTTCCGAGAGGAGTCACACTTGAGGTGGATAAAGGTGATCTGGCAGTCAGAGCAGGGGGCACCACCTGGGGGAGAGGCCTTGTCAACCCCAGGGGCACCCCCTGGGGACAGAGAAGGCTCTCACTCCCAGCTCTCACTTTCCCACCCTAGCCCAAGCAGACCTCACCAGATCTCCGCAACTGTCTCAGTTCACTTTTAAGGTAAGATACCTATTATTTGGTGGAGGGATATCCTGGGACTTCTTCCTTGGGCCCTATGCCTACAAGTGCTTCTTCCCTCTGCTCTGTCCAGAGTTCAGGATGCCAGTGGGTTTTTAGAGATCTCACTAAGCAGAGGAGCTGAGGGGTGGGGGAGGGGTGTGGTGGCCAGACAACCCATTGGAGGGGGGTCCCCAGTCCAGACCTGGTCCCGGGATTCTGCTGGCCTCCTCCGTTTTGCCTTTGTTTCTCAGGTGCAAACGGCATTTGGCATCCTTGATCTTGAAGGAGGCCCGCTGTTTAACCGACAGCACTGCAGCCTCTAGAGGGATGGCAGAAGCTCAGCACAGCCTGGGGGCGCCAAGGGGGGTGGGTACTGCTGTGGAGGGTATTGAGAAGCTGGGCAATAAGCCACGGGCTTGGCTGGAGAAGGATTATGAGAGCCAGGGGACTCAGATGTTAGGGGCAGAGGGAGCAAGGCAAAGGGCTGGAGAATGACAGAGCAAGGAAGGGGATCCAGGAAAAAGTAAGACCAGGAGAATTAATGAGGAGAAATCGGGGTTAATAAGCAAGAGAATAAGGTGGGAACAAGGCCTCTGGGCTGGTGCTCACCATGGCAGTGGTTGGAGTTTGTGCTGTTCCCGGTGTGGCCAGCTCGGGCTGGAGTGGCCCTGGGGCTGGGGGTGCCACAGCTCACCGTGAAGCCATTCTCAGACTCTGAGAGAAGGGGGCTGTCACAGCTCTGAGCTGCCCGCCCCCAACGCCTACTGGTTGGAGTAATGCAAGGGAAGCAGGAGAGCTACCTGAACAGCCAGCCTTTCCTCCCTGCCAGCCCTACAGCAACCACCTCTATGTACCTGGCAAAAACCGGGCCCGGGAGGGGCAGGTCAGGGCACAGGTGTCCTTCTTGCCAGACCGGTTGCAGCTGAGCATGGCTTTCGAGGCACCAGGACTGCTCTGACATTTGACTGGCTCTAGGAAGGGGAGAGAGACCTGAGGAGGAGAGGGCCTTCCTCTCCCACCCTCTACACTTGGCTGGTTTGGGAAGAGCATTAGCTACATGCAGAACTGTAACTGTAAACAGAGACTGATGAAGGGATTCATCACCAGAAATTTCACGTCAGTAACTCAAATGGCTACATTCTACTCCCCTACTACCTTACCCCTTCCTTGGCATGGAACTCCCCACTTTCCAGGACCCCAATTCCCACCCCCCAAAAATGTAGTGCCAGCTCTGGCCAGCAGAGGGTGCCGCCCACCTGTGCAATCTTTGCCATTCCAGTGCAGCCGGCCCTGGCCTGCGGGGCAGGTACACTGGTAGCTGCCTGGAGTGTTGATGCAGCCAAAGCGGCAGCCTCCCCGGTTGATGCTGCACTCATCCACATCTGGGGGAAGGAGGAGGGAGACACCAACAATGGTGGGGGAGTAGGAGCCAGGGAGTGGGCAGTGAGTGAGGACCTTTGGTGAGAGTTCCAGGCACTCCAAGATGACTACTGGCTTGAGAAAAGCTCAAGCCTAGGATCTCCTTCCTTTATCTCTGTCCCCAAAGAACGATTGAGAAGCGGCCAAGCTGACAAGCTTTGTAAAGCCTGCCATTCCTTTTTGCCACTGGGGCTGTATTTGAGAGTTCAGGATGGGAGTGGGAGTCAAGAAGCAGCGTTGGGATGGGAGATAGAAATTTTGGAGGTAGGATGCTGTTCCCTGATCTCCTAGTCTTCCCGGTTGTCTTAATTTCTCCCATTTATCATGATGGATGCAGACATGGCACATGCACCTGGGGATTGCCCAGAGCCAACGAGCCAAATCAGGAACTCATTCAACTGAAGGGTGTAGAGGTGAGAGGGGACAGGTGGCTGAGGGTCTAAACTTGCTGGCTTACCCCCACAGTGGGTGACACCATATAGCAAGTAGCCATGATGGCAGAGGCACTGGAAACTTCCTGGTGTGTTGACACATACGTGGTCACAGGTTCGATCAAAGGAACACTCGTCTATATCTGGAAGAATAAGGATTCAAGCCACTGAATCTGTCTTGGGGCATTTGACCCTGCAGTCCCTTGCTCAGGTGAAGGACCCAAATGAGGGGCCTTGGCCCTCCCTCATGGCCCAGCCCTAAGATCAGTGATTTAGCAATGCCTACCCATCCCCTGTGCCCCCTCCACTTGTAGTCTTTGGAGTCAGGAACTGTGAGATCTGGTACCTGTGGATCAGGGTCACCACATGTGGTTAGGCAGGTTGGATCCTGCCAAGGATTTGAAGTGGGGTGAAATCCATCCCTCCTTGCCAAAAGCAAGGTAGAGTTGGTCATCAAGAGGAAGGGGTACATTTGCTAATTTGCAGCATGACACTGCCCATGGAGGCTCTCCACAGTGTCTATTGACTTCCTCAGACTCTGGCCCTCTGGCCTCCTTGAAGCTCTCCTAGCCCCAGAACCTCTCCTAAGGCCTTCCCCTTGGCCCAAGTCTGCTCACCCTGGCAGTTCCTCTCATTGATGAGAAGCTTATAGCCCTTCTTGCAGCTGCATTCAAAGCTGCCCACTGTGTTGCGGCAAATGTGGTCACAGCCCCCGTTGTTCAAGCGGCACTCATCTATGTCTGGGAAGGCAGGACAAAGTAGAGAGAACCAAAGGTGATACCACAGGCTGGGGACAGATGAGGAGACAACATCCCTCCCTCCCTCACAGAGACTGAGAAAATCAAGCAGAGCTCTGGGCCTGCCCTTCTGACTCCTCTCTCACTCTCTGGTCTGTTTCTTCCCTGCTCATGGAATCTGTGGCCATTAGGACCAGTTTCTTTCCTGGAAATGAGCCCTCCCAGAAGGGGACAGATAGGAAGCAGAGTCAGGCCTTCAAGGACTGCCTGGAGTAGGAAGCAGGATGGCATTTGAACTACAGGGCTAATTTCTGCCCCTCACTCTGTGTGGATGGCGCTTCCACAAAAGGCTGGTGGATAAGGCTTATATCTTCCCTGTCCCTGACCCCTGCCTAGCATAAGAGCCCCGGGTAGTGGGCAACAGGGCAATGGTGGGGGGGGGGGGCACAGAGAGGTGGAGATTCAAAAGTGAGCCCCTCAGAGAGGAGGAGCTAGGAGAGAGCCGGCAGGAGGACCTCCAGGAGAGCCAGTGAGGCTGGGTAGCTGATGGGGGAGGGGCAGGGGCCAGGCAGGGGGCTGGACTGGGAGGTCTGGAGAGGCTCAGGCCTGAGGCAGCTTTCAGCACTAGGAAGGGAAGGGGGGGGGGGCGGGCAGTGAGCAGCTTCCTTCCTGAGGTCAAGTTCCCCAAGCTGGTGGCAGACAGGACCCAGGCTATTCACCCTTACTTGGGGGAGGGGGCAGAGAGGGCAGTCTTCCACTTCACTCTTAGCATACCTGTCAACAGTCCTTCCCAGCAGGAAACCTCTCAACTCTGGCTGTCTGACCTGCTGCCCCAGCCCTCCCCGTCTCCCCATCCTTTCTGCCAGCTGTTGGGCCAAAAGACACAAAGAAGGAGCTCAGTCCTCTTTCCAGTCCTCCTTGTGACCAGGGGACACAGACCTGATGAATCATTATTTTCAGTATGGCTACTCTTCCTTTTTCCTCCCCCACTCCACCTTTCTCCCAGACCTGGCTAATTAAAAGGAGGGGAAATAGGATGGACAACATGGGAAATTATACCATAATGATAACTATCATTTGTCAGGTACTGTTCTAAGTACTTAACATATAATCTTTATATAACTGATCTAATCCTTACAACAAGTGCCATTATTATAGTGGAACTGAGGCACAAAGACACTAAGTAACTTGCCCAGGATTGCAGAGCTGGGATCTGAACCCAGGTAACCAGTCTCCAGCCTCAGTGCTTCCACTGCTACCCTATTCCCCCTCTGACCAGTATAGCCTTCCCAGTGGGAAGGTCTGGGGAATGTGGGTTATGAAGGTTATGGAACACATCTGTGACCTTGTACACACATAGCCAGGGCTCAAATATCCTTCTAGATCCAGGGACAAATGAGAATAACATGTTCATTAACCAAGAGGGCTAGGGACCCAGAGCGGGATAGAAATGAGAGTAAGGAAAACAAGGTAGGGTGTGGGCAGCGGGCACTAAAGGACTGGCTGGACTTTTGTGCCCCTTGAACTGAACTGGGAAAGGTGCACAAGAGACAAGCCTTAGCCATGCTCCCAGTTCTTTCTAATCAGGATAGCCCCAAGGGGGTTGAGGAGGTCCTATAATAGGTACTAGATCTCTGATCCCAGCCTCAGCCCCCTCACCCCTATGCTCTGGTCCTCTGAGAGCCCTTACCTTTGCACGTCTTCCTGTCTGGCTGCAGCATGAAGCCCACAGGGCAGCTGCAGTGGACACCCGTCGCTGCATCGTGGCACTTACTGTCACAGCCCCCATTGTTGACAGCACAGGTCTCTGTTTAGGAGGGAGGTGGGGGATGGTAATGGGGTTATTGGCTTGGAGGAGTCCCAAACTTAAGGGTAGTAGAGAGTGCAGAGGCCTGAGGGAAGGCCTGAGCTGCCTCCCTGTGCTTTAGAAGGAGCACTCAGTGAAGGCTCCCAGCCCCCAGCCCTTCACAAGTGCAGCCAAGCAGTCCACTTCCCTGCCCCCTACTTGATTGAAACAAGGTGGACAGCAGTGAGGCAGGTACAAGCCAGAGCTGTCAGGCAGGAATGTGCTGAGGGGGTGGAGGAGGTGGAGAGGGGAGGGTGAAGGGAGGGATGGGAGCTAAGTAAGGGTGGTTCTCAGCCGCCAGGGAACAAGAAGGGACAGATAAAAGTTTCCTCCTCTTTCCAGTGACTATCTCTGTGGTGGTTGGTGGGGGGGGGGGGGGTGGTGGTGGTTCATAGTGGGGCAATCTTGGGAAGAGTGAACCTAGTGATTCCGGAGACAGCTGAGGGATTGCCCAGCTGTCTTAAAAAAAGATCCCAGTTCCAGGCCTGACTGCTCATCCTCAGAGGAGAGGCACATATTTGGTCATTTCCCAGCCCCTCCCCAGCTACCTCCCAACACCTCCCAAACCTTCCTTTTAGTTCCAGATGGAGATAAGCTGGCTGTTCTGTTGTTGTTTTTCTTTCCTAATGGGGAGAGATTGTCTAGGTAGGGGAGGGGGCCAAAAGAGAAGAAGAATTCGGAGGAGGAGGCAGGGTGTAAGAAAGTAGATGAAAGAGTTAGAGAACCTCAGAGCTAGGTCTCTTCTATTGCCCCCTCTTGACTGGTAAGACTCCTTTGCTGAGGGGTCAGAATAGAGGGAGTATGGATAGGTCACTCTCCCTATTTTCTGCATTCTGCAGGACATAAACAAGTTTAAACTGCAGCTCAGGAGAATGAGTTGAGCCCAGGGAAAAACCATCAGTTCAAATAGTGCAAGACCCCTCCCCCTTCAGGGACTCTGGAGGATGTGTGGGCCATCCTCTGGGGGCCCTAGAATTCTCCCATTGGAAAGACAGAATCCCAAACCCTCTCCTGGGGAAGAAAGGAGAGTGGTTCTCCAAATCTGGGGAACTGAATGAGAAAAGCACCAGAGAACTATCATCTTCTTAAATCTTTGACTCCTAAAACTCAGGTCCAACCCTTGTCACCAAGGAGACCACCAAAGCAAGGGTTCCAGAAGAAGCCCAACCCTGCCTGTGGGTCCCTGGTCATGCCCCAGTTACTCAAATGCCCAGGTCTGGGAGCAGCCACAGTGGGATTTCTTGTGTGCCACTTACACCTTAGTCTCCTGAAGTTCCCCAAGACCATGGGAGAAACCTGGGAGGGAATGTTGAGTTCAGGCTCCAAGCCTAGCCATTCCCCCCAAGAGTGCTCTTAGTAGAAGGAGAGGTGCCCCCAAGCCCTGGAGCAAGGAGAGGGGAACAGATCCTGTGCTAAGACTAGGTAGGTTCTGAGGGATCCAAGGTGAGGAGCAGCAGAGCTGGCACAACACACATCTCAGGTCAGACGAGGAAGCTGGGTACAGCTGCCCTCCCCTGCAGGGCAGCATTAGCCAGGGCAGGGTTGAGGCGGCAGGATGGCACAGCCTCAACCCTTTGCTCTTCAGGTTGCAGTATGAAACCACAGTTTAATCTGTGCTGATTCTGTGCCAGGCACTTACTAGATGCTCTGCACACACTGTCTCAATCATCTCAGCAACCCCAAAGGAGAAAACTCTTATTCTCCCTGTCTACAGAAGAGTAAACTAAGGATCAGAGAAGAAAGTAGCTTGCTTGAGGTCATATGGTTAGAAAGTGGCAGAGGCAGGATTCAAACTCAGGTCAGTCTGAATTCAGATGTCATGCTTGTACCCATTATGGTGGGACAGAATGGCGAGTGATGCTGGGGCTGTGAGCTGGTGTGGGGGGAACCCAAGGAAGCAGCCTCAAGGAGGGATGGCATCTAACTCTATCCCACCCCTAACTCAGCCA